TCTCCAGAGGAATTCTCCTTTGCAGGGCCGCCCAAGGCGCTGCCAGGTTCAGCTGAGTTTCTCATCTGAATATGCATGAGGCAGTAATTAATTCTCTCTGATACTGATCCAGATTTGGGGTTGGTTTTGTGAGTGTGTGCGTGCGCGTTTTGTATCCATCTTCTCCCAGGTGTGCTAACGCACCAAGGAGGGATGAAACGAAGGAGTGGTGGCTCCCCACAGCTGTCCTTGCAGGATGGTAGCCATTGACACTTCAGGGCCAGCTTGGGGCAGACAGGTGGCCCTGGCTGGGTGGGGACTTCTGTGGGGTGGCTCTGCTGGGGACAGCAGGAGGAAAGGGGACAGAGAGTAGGGCACAATCAGGGTCATGTGCCTGGGGCTGGCTACACCATGGGGCAATCCCTGCCTAAACACATATCCAGCCCTGGGCACGTGCAGGAGGTGTTTTCCCTCCTCCAGCAGACATTGCAAAGATACCATGTTTGCGAAGTGCTGAGAAGAGGGAGGGAGGGAGGGAGGGAGGGAGGGAAGAGAATCTTGACTCGCCTCCTCCCTCCCACCTTCCTCTCTCCTTTTAAATCTCTTCCATGCATCATTTGAGCAGTGGGACGGGAGCCCTGAGGAGTGAAACCTTGTCTCTGGCCGAAGGCCCAGGCCTGGGGCGAGATGTGGGTGTGTAAACCCCATGCCATAGGCCCTTGCTCTGGGTCTGATCCACAGCTCGTAGTCACAACCAGCCTTCAAACCAGGGGAAAACCAGAAAACACTAATGAGAGGGAAACAACTGTTTTCCAGCTTCACAGAGCCCACGCCCAAGAATACAGGTCTCTTCCCCTGGCCCCAGGAGCATGTTGCCCCAATGGCCTCCTCACCCTTCCCTTGAGAGAAAGGCAATAATCAGCTTTCCTGCCTTTAAACCTTGCCATGGCCGTCTCTCAGGGATGAGTTGAGGTTGTTCCAACACACAGGCAAGGAAAGATGGGGATGTGAGTACTGGTGCCTGGGTCATGACATCAGCAGTGCTGGCCCTTGGCAGCCAGGAGGAGATGCTGGATCCACTCCTGATGTTGTGGGCTCCCTGGAACAGCCAGCATCCCAAACCAGAGGCTTCCCTGGTATCCCCATCATGTTCCCACTCTGCCTGTAGCCAGGAGCAGGATTAGCAGCAGTGCTGAGGTATATTGCCCCCCTCTACCTGGCCGTGGCTCCTGACAGCACCCACGTGCAGCAGATAAGGGACTGCCTTGGACCCACATCTCAGCCAGATAGGGCAGTGGCTTCCCAGAGCCGCAGAGAAGCCAGTGAGCATCAAGGGTGTCATTGCCTGCTGGGGTCAGAGGATCTGGAGAGGTCACATCCCTTTCCCACACCCTTCAGTCACAGGGGATAACTCCTCCAGAACGCTGTCCTCACTCTGGGGCTCTATGCAGAGGCCCAAGGACTGTGCCATGTACTGCCTACCACATCCAGCTCCATCCAGTGGAGTGCAGAGAAGACAGACTCCCTACATCCATCTGAGGGATCCCTGCGATGTCTACAGGCTTGGAAGCAGCGGGCTGGGAACAGCTGGTGAGTCAGAGCCCTGTGTTGTAACGTGGGGGGCAGAGCGCGTGTTGGAGCAGGGATGGCCGTGAGCTGCAGTGTGGGGCCCGCCTGGGCCTTTTGCAATCCTCTGGGGAAAGGCGAAGTCAGTGTCTCCATCCCTTAATTAAAGTGTGCCACAGGGCCCCGCTCCTGTCTGTTTACGTGGTTCATGGGGCTGGACAGAGGAGCAGCAGCCCGGGACATGGGGAGGAGGGTGGCCTCATCAGCCCTTCCCTGGGCTGGGGCAGCCGGTGCTCTCGAATGCAGTCTCTGGCTCCTGCAGCCAGGTCTCAGCCTTGGCCCCATGGTCTCTCAAAGACAGTTTCTGGAACCATGAGCTGATTCCAGTTCTCCCCTCCCTCCTGTGAGCGCACATGAACCTCCTTCCCACCTCCCCATTGCCCTCCACCCCCATCCCCCCCCAGCACTGCTCTTCCAGAGAAAACCTGGCCCCCGTGTGCCACCCTTGCCCATCGAGGAACAGAAGGTGACACAGCCAGGATGTCATCTCTGCCGGCTTCACGTCCCGCATCACCAGCCTGACCTAGAAACACTACCACGTCTCGTGCGCCGGAGCCCGGGGATGCTGCAGGCTCATCCCTCTGTTTTTTCCAGAGCAGCTGAGTGACAGTCGCCCCTCCCTTGCCTCTCCGAAGAGCGTAATGAGAATTTCCTCCGAGGAGCAGCTTGCCGCGATGAAATAATCGCCCGAGCAGCATGATCTTCACCGGGGATTAGAGAGGCTGCTACTTGCTGAGCTAGGGAAACGGCCGGTGAGGAGGGAAAAGTCCGACCTCCTCCTCCGGCACCTCGGCCAAAGCAATCGCCTGCCGCAGACGGAGCGAGGTCTCAGGCAGAGAGCTCAGCCCTGGAAACTTCTGTCCCCGATGCTCGGGCACTTTTGCAAAGTCCCCTTCCACCCTCCTCCTTCTCTCTCTGCTCCCTGAGGAGCCGCTCCCCAGCCCTGGCAGTCCGGAGGGGTGGAGAAGAGGTAAAGAAGCAGCTGCCTTTTACAGGCAACAGTTCCTGTTGTTTCTTTTTGGACTGCTGAGGCATAAAGCGCCGAGCCGAGCCTGCTTCTCCCTGCCTTACTCGCACAGGCACTCGCCCGCCGGTTATCCCGCTGCACAGAGGGACGGCAGCAAGGGCTATACATGGATTTCCGACGCGGAGTGGTTTAAGGCAGTTTTGCTTCCACTGCAGGCTTGGTTGTTTTTTTTATCTCCAGTCCTCCCACCACCACCCCCCCGCCCCCTGTCCTCTGTGAGATCCTGGTGTGACCATCCCTTGAGGATTCCTAAATTCCGAATTTTCTTCCTGAAATATCCCACATCTCATTTTCTTTTTTTAACTCTTCCTGAAACGTGGGAACCCCAAGCCCGAAGGAACATCCCTAGTTTGAGCAGAAGGCATGCATGAAAGACAAGTTATAGCAGAAGTGATTTTTTCAGGGGTCTGGGCTTGGGTGTTTTTTTTTCTTTCCTCTTTCAAACACATTTCGAATCTCGCTGGCCGCCAGCTCCCGGCTGGGCTGTGGCAGAGGGCGCTCCTGCCTCCAGCACTACGAGCAACCTGCCCCAAACCCACTGAGTCCTGTCTCCGGGAATAGCAGCTGCCCTTGTCTCGAACACTCCAAGCGAGAGGCGTAGCCAGAAGCAACCAGAAATCCCGGTTTCCACAGCCCTCTCCTTCCCCTGAGTGCATGGAGAAGCTTTTGCCCTGCTCCCACCCAGTCCTGCCACCAGGTCAGAGCGGGACATCCGACGTGAGAAATCCATCATCCCCAAAAGGTCCCAACGCGAGAAATCCATCGTTCCAAAATGTCCCTCCTGACAAAACGCCAGCAGTGCCCGACCTTCTTGAGCGGGGCACTGCTGTGTCGACAGCGCCTGTGATCCAAAGCGAGAGTTGCTCGTGGGGTCGCAGCCCCTGGGGCCAGGGGACGGCCAGGGCAGGGGGTGGCTGGCCCTGGTACGAGGTCACTCCAAGGGTCAGCGGCCGCTGTGAGGTCTCGGCCGTGCCGGTGCCGAGCCCTGTGGCCCTGATCCCTGTCCCCATGGCACCATCTCCTCAGTGCTGCTCCCACGAGGGGCAGGACACGGAGACTGAGGAGTAGAGTGCTGTATGGTGCACCCAGGCACAGACCAGCCTGTTTGCTGTGCTACTGCGCTGAGTGGGAGGGACATTTTGTCCTGGAAACGCGGCCCTGTCTCTGTGTCCAGCCGCCGGGGGCGTGTGGGGATGGGGCAAGGGATGCCAGCGCCATGACGCCTCGTGTCGCGAAGCCTGCTGCCAGGCGGTGTGGGGACTACCATGGCTTCTCCACAGCTCTCCTGAAGTCGTAAAGGGAGGAACCCCGGGTCAGCGCGGCTCCTAGTAGCCGGGATCAGCGGCCACCGCCCGCGGCAGCCCCTACCCCGGGCTCCCAGCCGACCCCCGTCAACTCCGCTCCACAGCTCCGCCCCGAGTCGCCTCCGGGTTTTCAAAACCACTTCGCCGTAGACAGACAGGCGGCGCAGCCAATAAGAAGCCGCAAAGCGTCAGTACAGCGTTCGCCTGGCGATGCTGACCAATCCACATCGTTCGATGCCTATATCCCGCCCTCCGAGGACAAGTTCTGCCTCAGTCCGGCGGCCATATTGAGTGTGGCAGCCCCGCTGTTCTCCGTCTGGAGGGGCGTTTTTCCCACCCCTTCACCCCTTAATTCGCGCTTTCCGCACCGGGGACCATTCGCGCGCGGCTCTGTCTCACCCCCGGGGCCGTTGTGGGCGGCGAAGCGGCTCCCAGGGGATGGTAAAACCGTGTGGTTGCCCCACGAAGAGCTATCGGCGCCATCTTGAGTGTGGCTGAGACCCCTCAGTCGCTGCGTCGGTGCCCTGTTACCCCGCGGTGTGAGGGGGACAGATGCGGTCGCGGTGCCCGCCGGCGCGGCGCGAGGGGCACGGCCGTATATAACGGGGAGCTGCGGATAGGGAGCATTGGGAAGCTCCTGGTGAGCTTCGAACCCAGTACTCGCAGAAGGTTGCGGGGAGGGGGGGAGGAGAAGCAGCTTGGATACGGTTTTTTTACTGTAAAATAAGCAAACGGGTGGGAATCCCGCATTTCTGAGCGGCAGGCTGGGCGGGCCGCCCCTCCCCGCTCCCCCCAGGGGCGGCCGCGGTTGTTGTGACCAAAGTTTCCGCGGGGCGCCGAAAACACAGAGAACGAGGGGGCCTAGCGGGGTACCGAAGGGACGGGGCTGCCCCGGGACCACTGGCGGCCCCATGGGAGCGCGGCTGGGGGAGGGCAGCGCCGGTTCTCCCGCACTACTGTTACTATTTTATTTTTAACTATTATTATTTCCCCTCCGCCCCTCCGCAGGCGCGGCGGCAGCTCCCCCCTCACGCCCGCCCGCCGCCTCACACGCACGGCGGGGGGGGCGGGGCGGGGCGGGGGCGGAGGTAGCGCGGGGGGGGCGTGGCTCCGCTTCCCTCTGCGCCCGCCACGCTGAGACCGGGCCCAACTCATCGCCGCAGTGGCGGCGCTCGCCGGCTCCTTTAAGCGGCCGTGCCCCATTGTTTGCACCGCGGCCAATGGGCGCCCGGCGGCCGCGGCGCGCGCGGCCAATGGGGCGCGGCGCGGGGCAGCGCGCGCGCCGCCCCCCGGCTCTATAAGAGGGCCGGCGGCGCCGCGTGAGTTCCCACTGGCTCGCGCAAAGCCATCTTGGCATTGTTCTGCCCGCCCGCCCGCGCCGCCGCAGCCCCGCGCGACACAGCCCCGCACGCCCCCGCCATGTCCGACGCGGCCGTGGACACCAGCGCTGAAATCTCCGCCAAGGTGAGCGACCCGCCGCCTCGCGCCCTGCTCCACGGCTTTTTTCCCCCCTCCCTCTTTTAATATTTTTTTCTGAGCGATTTCGGGATTTTTTTTCCCTTTTCTGTTTTTTTATCGGAATTTTTTTTCCCCCCCCGCCCGTCCCGCCCCCTCGTTTTTCCCCCTTCCTCCTCCGTCGTTCGCGTTGAAGTTGGCGGCGCGGTGCCGAGCCGGTGCCGCCGCGCTCGCCGTGCGGGGCTGCCAGCGCTGTTCCTTTGTCTACAGTGTGCGGGAAACGTGCTCGCCGCCTTTGCCGGTGCTGCCGAGCGCCGCGGCTCCGCGTCCCACTCCCTCCCGCCTTTCCTTGGGACAGTAGCTGGTCATCCCGCTGCGGAGGGGCTCGGGGAGCCGGGGGGGTACACGCACGGCAGTGCCTCGGCACCCGGCAGCGCTCGCTCATTCAATCCGCGGTGCGGGAGCTTGACAGCCCCGTCAAACTTGTGTTCCGCTCGGCCCCGTCCCTGCGGGGGGATGTGGGGGGAAGCGCTCCGGAACACGCACGGGTGGGGGGGGCAGTGTCTGTTGTGGAGTTGCTGCCGAAAAGCGGGGTGGGCGGGTGGTTGCTATTTCGGAGTTGCGCCCCGTTGATGCGGGAGGGGCGTCTGCTGTGGCGGTGTTACCCCTGGAGTGTGGGGGGGGACAGTTGTTTTTTCGGCGTTTCCCCCCGGAAGGACGGGGGGAGGGGGGGCATTTGCGATTTAGGTACTGCCCCGTATTGGGAGTTACTATTTCGATGGGGGAGTTACTGTTGCGGGAGTAGGGGGTGATCCGCAGCTGTCCCAGGGGGGAGCTTTTGTTATTTTTGGAGTTACCCCGATGGAGGCACCCCCATAGTAGGAGATGCCCCGGAGCGCTGGGGCGGCAGGGCTGAGGGCGCCGGCCCTGGCCCAAGCTGCTCGCAGCGAGGATAACTTTGCGAGTCGCTGCTGGAGGTGATGGGAAGTGGTTGGGGAGCGCCGGTACCAGCCGGGAGAGGCTCTCCCGGGAGTCCCCGCTGCGGCTCCCGGCGCACGCCTTTGTCTGCGAGCCGCGGCGGAGCGTCCCCCGGGGGGACTGCGATCCCCGAGCGGCCGCCGTGCAGCCCGGGGCCACGGCCGGAAAAGTTGCGAGGGGACCCGGCCCGGACCAGTGCGTGGGAAGGCTGCGGGGGACGTGCCCGGCAGCCTCCTCACACTGCGCCCCGGCTGGCCCAGGGTCGCGCCGCTCCCGGGGGAAGTGCGGCTGGAGGGGGAAAAAAAAAATCCGACCGGGAGGAGGGTTTATAAAAAACAACCAACAAAACGCCGTTTCTGGCAGATTTCTATTTCACTTCTGTTTCCCGCTCCCGCAGCCATGCCCCCATCCCGCCTGCCCTGCCTCTGTTCCGGGGCCGTGGCTTGGTCCCCGCCGCCTCCGGCTCTCCCACTGCCGGGAAGCGGCGAGGCGGGTCGATCCCCATCCTTCCCCGGAGGAACGGGGCCAAGTTTGCCGTTAACCTTCCCCTGCCCTTTTTACCGCGTGCGGGAAGGGGTCTCGTCTCTGGCTCACGCTCCTGAGAGCGGACAAGGGTCCGCGCTGCAGGGCGGGCGGAGGCGCGCACGGCGGCAAGGTGACCCCCCCACACCTCAGAGAAGTGCGGAGGCACCGGGGCCGCTTGCTCTCGTCCCGCCTCGCCGTCCGGAACGCTCTCGGGAGGCGGGGATGGGGGGGAGGGGGTTCCCGCCCCGCCCGGGCGCCGCCCCCGGCCGGTGCCGCGGGGCGCCCACCACGTGCGGCCCTGGGAGCCGGAGTCCGCCGCGCCGCCCCCGCCGGGACTACAGCTCCCGGCAGCCCGCGGGGCGCCGTGCTGGCTGCCGGCCAATCAGCGGGACGTGGAGAGTGGCGCGCGGTTTGAATGGCGGCCGCGCGCGTGGCGGCGCGGGTGAGCCCCCTGCCGGCGGGAGGCGCGGGCTGAGGCGCTGCCTCTGTCGTCCCCGGTCCTGATTTCCCCCGCTTCCCACAGGGATCCTGCCGAGGGCAGGGCCGCGGAGAAGGTAGAGCTTTCCGGGCCGGTGGTATGTGGCTCTGCACCGCTGCTATTCATTCCATAGACAAACAGCCCTGACACACCTATAATTAGAGGCTGTGTCCCAGTCTTGGCGCCAGAACAGCCCTGCTGCCTGCACCGGCCCTTGGTCTGGACGCTCCTGCGCATATCTGTTTGTGTTGGAGTGGGAAAGGAAAAGGGGGAATCTGATGCTCTCCGCAACCCTGTTGCTACCACAAACTTCATGACCTGGCATCGTGATAGTGGTTAAACTGAGAGCGTTTTCAGTGATGCAGGAAAGGTCAGGGCTGGAGATCTGTCCAGCTAAAATGCCTAAGAACGAATTGTTCCTTCACTGGGAGAATTGCTTGCAACTTGTGAACTACTCGTTTTAAAAAGAACTGTTGGGCACATTGAGAAGCGGAAATTCTGACTGCTTGACTTGCTCTGTGTTTAACTTGGGAACTGCTTTTTTGCCCTCGTGCCCATGTGCTTGGTGTGATGGAGCAGCTGTAGCCCAGTGATGCATAAGAGGCCAAATGGTTGTGATCAGTCTCCAGGGAACAGGGCAGTGGAAGCCACTGACAGTGTAAAACTGGTGGAACTGGGCAGTGTGGAGGAGGTGGGCTGGGATTTGTGTGTGAGCAGTGAAAGGAAGAGGGAGCTTGTGTGTTTGTTTTACTCCAGACTTCTGGGTTGGTTTGCTTAGGTGAGGTTCGATCAACAGGTGTTGTCCCCCTTCAAGGCTTTCTTGCAGGGAAAGTCTTTCCTCAGTGCACTGGCAGTCTGTGGGAAATCTGGAAACGGCATCTGTCTATTTAAGTAACCTGTGCTGCCTCCCCTGCGCGGTCTGCAGGGCGGTAGAAACCCTCCCAGAAGGGAGCAGTGATCACGCTAGCAGGGCCATGCTCTTCGCTGCCGTGTTCCCACGAGGCAGCGGCTCCCGGGAGTGAAAGTGCCCGCTGTCTGTGGGCGGCACCGGCAGCTGCAAAGGGCCGGCAGGAGGGGGAGAAGCCACCGCAGTGGAGCAGGAGCTTCCAGCAACTTTTAAACACCTCATGGTTGCTGCTGAAGCCGGCTGTGGCTGTGCTGCTGGCCCTGGGGAAGGGCCTCCCTGCTTTGCTTGGCTGGGGTAGCACTCACTGTGCTGAAGGATCTCGCTCCAGTTGATGGAGGAACAGAAGGGGAGGAGGATGCAAGCAGAGATGCCAGTGTTAAATCCAAGTGTTCTTAATGCGGGAACATAAAGTTGGATCTTTTCAGCCTGTTTGCTGAGCGACTTGGCATGACATTTTGACAGTGATCAATAGCAAAAACACACAAGCTCCCGCTCTGCTCGCGGTGGAGGCTTGAACCGAACTAGCCAGGCATGGCTCTTGGAGCAGTGTAAAAATAGACTTCTTCCCCCACCCCATCCTGTTACACTTCAGGCTGTGAGCTGGATGCTGGAGCCTCCTCTCTGCTGCTGTGAGAAAGACCAGGCATGTAATATTTGCTGTATGATTTTCGCTAGGCAGGGCAGAGACCACAGCCTCTGCTAATGAGTCCCTGGGATTTGTTCCTGCTGGGAAGGTTCTGAGCAGCCGTGGATGCCCGCAGCCCCAGGATGGCAGAGCCCATCCTTTGGACAGGGCTGCCGGCTCTCCGTGGCATTGCAGGAGCTTGCGTGGACTGTGCTAAGATGGGCAATCAGCCAGCTCTGCTGCTGTTGAGCATATATGCAGGCGGCCAGCTCTGTCTGTTTGGGAGCTCAGAGGTGAAACAGAGCAGTCTCTTTTTTAGAGGGCTGCTCTGGCAAGGCTGACTTGGATTGAGATTCGCCCCCATGTTTTCCCGTTCCCAAGGAGGAGCCAGAACGTGGCGACCAAATCACAGAACAAATCTGTATGAAGAGAAACCAGCGCCTGCTCTCGCTCTCAGACTGTGTTTTTCACACCTGATCTGCAGCTTCTCTGACCCAAACACCTGGAATCGGGGTGACTTCTCTGCTTTTCTGCTCCTTCCAGGATCTAAAAGAGAAGAAGGAAGTAGTTGAAGAAACAGAAAATGGCAGAGATGCACCAGCCAACGGCAATGCTGTGAGTATGGCTGCAATCTGCTGGGAGAGGCAGTCTGTACATCAATGCTTTTTTTTTTCTCCTCTTCTTGCTTTTGCTGCAAGTTTGTCCCTAGCACTGTTGAGAGGGGATCCCTGTAAATGGCAGCTCTGAGCCCTGCAAAGCCCTTCAGCCTTTGGTGCTTCACGTTACACAGACACTCCCAGCCTGTGGGCTGTTCATGTGTGTGCAGAAGAGAAGGGCTGGGCTTGGATTCCCTCCCTGACAGCTGTGTGAGGCTGTCCAGTACCAACTATTCCCTAGGCAAGGATAAAGAGGAAAAAAAATTTAAAACCCACTAGGATTTACAATGTTACAACCAGTTCAGCTGGGAAATACATCATAGTACAAGTAAACTGGTTGGTTTCCTCTTTTGATGTGCTGGGGGAAAATCACTGTGCTACATTTCAATGTGCCATGAGAGCCATTACAGGCTTTGTCTCAAAGCTGCAGCCCCAAGTTACTGTAGGCTTGATCATTTGTGCCTGGGCTGTCTGGGTTGTGTGGAGGCAGGCAGAAAGCGGGATGTGCACCCAGGGCCCCGGTGGGCTGGTGCTTTGCTTTCGGCAGGAAAGGTGGGAACACGCACTTGTGCTGAATGTCTCTTCCACCTTCTCCCTTTCCCAGTGCATTTTTTTTAAGTGATGTTTTGTCTTGCCAAGGAGAACGAGGAAAACGGAGAGCAGGAGGCTGACAACGAAGTAGACGAAGAGGAGGAGGAAGGTGGTGAAGAAGAGGACGAGGAGGAAGAGGGTGATGGTAACTTTTTGTTCCCCCACCCCCATCCCACAGTGGTGTCCTGCTCTGGACAGCAGGCTCTGGGAAGTGGAGGCGAACGGAGAGCAGCATCTCCCCCTCGCGGCTGTGGGCAGAGAGCTCCCGCCAGCCAGGCTCGCTCCTTCCTTGCTTGCCCGAGCCACTGCTGCTGGGAGTGAAGTCAGCCTTGAATCCCTTCCAGCAGGTTGAGGGCAGATTCCTTCCTCCCTCCCTCTGGCCAGACGGCACCTTCCCGCGGCGCTGAATAAGCGCATTAGCCCTTCCGTGCGAGTAGTAAAATCTGCCCTTGACTCCTGTGAGTGCAGCCGCTGCTGCAGACGCCAGCGCCGGCCAGTGGGACAGGGACAGCCCTGGGTGGCCATGCCTTGGCCCAGGCACAGAGGGTGTGTCTCCGTGCTTGTTCATGAAGCAGCGTGCTGAAAGCACCAGCAGCCCTCTTTCCCAGGCTGGATGCTGTGTGGAAACGAGCAGAGGAACCTGCGGCTCTTACCTGATCCTCCAGCTGGAGTAGATAGGCTTGCTTTGAACCTTCTATGGCTGCAGTGTACTCTGTCTCCCTGCCCTCTGCTGCTTCCTGACCTGACCCAGCCTGGAAGTGGGTTTTGGCAGCAGTGACTTGCCGAATCACTTCTCACCCTCCCTGCTATTATTTTTTTCCCAAGATCTGCTTGGATGAATAACATTGTTTATTTTTATCGCTTGTTAAGGCTGGGAGAAAACCTTTCTTGTTATGCTGAGATGAACTCAGGGCCCCTGATTATCTGTTACTAGGTTAATCCCCTGTGAATTTTTGGTTTGCGTGCTGACCTACTAACCTGCTGGCTAGTTTTGGGAGATACGGACAGGGCTGAAAATTTAATGACCGTTAAACCAGTTCTTATTCTGAAAGTGTGAGCTGGGAAAGCCACCTCCTTTGGGGTAGCACTCTCCCAGCAGCCTGCTGTGCCCTTCAGTAGGAATTGGTTCACTAGGAACAACTGGGAATTGTGATCCTCTTTAACTTGGGCTTTTCACCCCTGAGGTCAGATGCAGCACTGCTGTGTGCTGTCCTGAGCCCATTTACCCCCAGCCTTACTTTAGGGTGGATGAGATGGGGCATACTTGGCTCTCCCTGCTCCTCTCGGGCAGGAGCAGGGAGGATGCGTGTGCTGCAGGCGCATGTGTGGGGTGGAAGTGTTGCTTGGATACTGCTGTGACAAACCCGGGGAGCTTTGGTCCCGCAGTGCCAGCCCTGCTCTTCCCAGCTCACCGAACACAGGCACGATTTGGCACGCGGTGCCTGGAGACGCCGATGCCTTGTGGGGATTCGGCACAGGCTCTGACTGCTGGCACGGGCACTGTCCTGCTTGCTGCCCTCGGGCGATCCCTGCCTGAGAGCTGCACCTGAGCACTGCAGGAGAGAGATTTAAAGGCAGCAAGTCCAGCTTGCATCAGCTTTTTTAGCCAAGACTTGCAGCCAAACTCCCGGGGTTTGACAGCAGAGGAGAGCTTGAGGGTATATTTTCCTCTCACATCTCTCCATCCCATCTCATTATTTGCTTTGCTTAAAGCAGCTCAAAGAACTAAAAATGCTCCCAATCAGCTTGGCACTGTCACCTGACCTGCCGGCCAGCCCAGTGCATGTGATGGCTGCCGGGGTGTTGATCCAGTGCTGGGAGCTAATCTTGGCCCTTCCCGCTGCATGGGCCGCACCGCAGCTGGGCACACGTCAGGAGGGGCGAGGGGAAGGGAGGATGGGCTGACCTTAATCCCTCCGGCTGTCCAGGCTGTCCGTACGTGTGGCTCATGGTGGTGGTTTAAAGCCAGCTTACTGGCCTTAACTCTCTAAGTTTTAGTAGGGTCTCCTGTTACACAAGAGACTTGTCTCAGCAGCTGAGAAGCTGTTTTGCCTCTGGGCTTGCCCCTGAGCCCCCAAAAGTGGCCAAAGGTGATTGACTCAGTCGTTCTGATCCACTGGCCTATTTGAGCTCAAAGTGGGTCAAAGCCCAGAGCTCGCTGCTCATCCTCCTGGCTGGCTGTAAGATAAGTTGGAAGCATTTGTTTGCTGTTCTGATAATTAGAAAGTGTTCTGACTCAGAACTAATGCGTTCTGGCTCTCTTAACTCATTAAAGATGGACTAATAGCTGCGAAGGGAAGCAGAAGTAATCTGGAGTGGTTAGGCAGAGCAGCCACTAGAAAGAGTTTTTTCCTCTTTTTTTCCCCCCCATTTTTGCCATGATTTTGGCACTTGTGGTAGGTGGTGGTTTTGCCATCTCACTGTCCGTGTTAAAAATGTAGTGTGAATCAAACTTGAGGCTGCCAATCCTTACTTTCCCTTTGGTGGGTCAGGTCATTTGGGGGATGCCCAGAAAGCCACAGTGTCTTCTCTCACCTCTTGTCCTCAGAAGGGCCTGTGCCACCTGGGGAGATGGGGACATGGTATCACAGTGTGGGGATGTGCCAGGATTAAATCCAGAGGGAAGGTGTGTGATACTGGAACTCTCCAGAGGGTCTCACATTTCCTCCCTTTGTACTCCATGCAGGTGAGGAAGAGGATGGTGATGACGATGATGAAGCTGAGGGAGCCACAGGCAAACGGGCAGCTGAGGATGATGAGGTACAAAGAGTAGGCAGCCCCTCAGAGCCACACATGTCCCCAGAGGGTTTGGGAGGGGGGAGGGTGTCAGTGGGGCTGGAGAGGCTGGGCATAACTCTGGGGCTGGAATGCTTTGCCTGTGTGCTCCCCATGTCTCTCCAGGGACACAGCCCAGTTCTGTTTATACACTGGCCTGGTTAGGGGGGTGTCTACTCCTGCCAGCAGAGCCCTGGCCCTGGGCTGGGGAGACCTGGCATGCTCATGGTGGGCCTGGGTGGGGGGCACTCAGGGGCTCCCTGAGAAGAGAGGATTTTACCTGAGGGAGGGAAAAACCTGTGGTGCTCAGACCTTGTCCCTGAGGCAGGAGAGGGACCCCAAACTCCCCTGCCTCACTCCCTGCCTCGGGGTGATTCTTGCCTGCCCCCAGCAGCCCCAGTCCCCATCCCCTCTTCTGACGGCTCTGCTTTCCCCCTAGGACGACGACGTCGATCCCAAGAAGCAGAAAACCGATGAAGATGACTAGGCAGCAAATTCTTTTTTCTTTTTTTTTTTTTTTTTTTTTTTTTTTTTTTTAAAAAAGGGAAAAAAACAAACAAAAAAAAAACAAAAAGAAAAACCCACAGCAGCAGATGCCAGCCAGGGTGAGAAATAAGAAGAAAGATAGCGGGAAAAATTTTTTTTTTTTTTTTTTTTTTTTTTTTTTTTTTTTTTTTTTTAAATAAGGAGGAAAACAAACCAACAAAAAAGGCCAGCGCGTCCTCTTCACCCTTGGGTCTCCCCTTGGGACTCCTGTTGCAGCCCCCTTTCCCTCACACACCCCCTTCCTCCCCCCTCCGCCGTGGTCATCCTCACCAAGTAGAGTGAACCCCGTCCCCGCCCCCCGGCGCGGCGCTGCCACTCAACGAACATGGAAACGATTCGCCCGTTAGCGGGGAGAGAAAAACCCCCCTTCCCCCACAAACCCTCTCCCCCCCGAGCACCAAAACTTCAAGGCCCTGCTTTCTTTCTTAAAAGTACTTTAAAGGAGAATTTGTTTGTATTTTTTATTTACATTTTATATTTTTGTACATATTGTTAGGAGGTCCGCCATTTTTAAGTGATCTCGGATTGACCAAAAGGGGGGCTTTGAAGTGTATATCTCTCTTGTTACCTATCTCTGACTTTACTTGTGGTGTGACCAGGCCCAAACCATTATCTCAAAGGAGAATAAAACAAAACCTTGTAAAAAAAAATTAAAAAAGACAAAAATGCAAAAAAAAAAAAAAATTACAATCTTATTCTGAGCATTCCAGTAACTTTTTTTGTGTATGTACTTTAGCTGTACCATAGATCGTGGTTTGTATGAGGTGGCAAGGCCAAAGATAAAAAGGTTTTCTTTTTTTTTTCTGTCTATGAAGTTGCTGTTTATTTTTATTTTTTCTTTTTTTTTTTTTTTTTTTTTGGCCTGTTTGATGTATGTGTGAAACAATGTTGTCCAACAATAAACCGGAATTTTATTTTGCTGAGTTGTCCTAACAAGGCTGCCTCCCAACTGCTGCTTTTTGTTTTAGTTTTCATTTGTTTTAGTTTTTTATTTCTTTCTTCCCTTCTTTATCTCCTTTCTTTCTTTGCTTTGGACTTGGGCTGGGAAGAGAGAGAGAGGGGTGCAGAGTGTTGATGGGGAGGGTCTGGGGGCTGTGCTGTCCCCCTGCTGCTGTGGTGGCAGGGGAGGTGGAGTCTTTCCATGGCTGTATTCCTGTGGAGAGCTGCACCAGTGTCCCCAGCATGGCCTGTGCATGATCCTGCATGCTCTGGCTGCCCTTGGCAAGAGATAGGGATGGGTTAGACTGGGAAACATGGACAGGGAGTGTGGGTATGGTTTGCTCAGTAATTCTCCTGTCTGCAGCCAAATTTGTTGGGGATTGTTTGGCTTGTGTAGTGGGGATGAGAAACCCATCTCCAAAATCCTTGCAGTATCTGCTGCAGGTGATTGACCCCTGATTGTGGGGTGGGGAGAGCTCAGGCCGTGTAAATGCCTTCCCTCCCTTGGGGCTTGAGTGTTGCTGGCAGTGGGGCAGCAGTCAAGTGTCAGCAGGGATCGGATTCAGCCAGAACTGGTGCCAAGTTCAAGGTTTGGTAGTGGCACTCGGGGGAGACAGGCTCAGGTTTGTCTGTGTGCTCTAACAAACCAAAATGGCCTTAACTTAGCCTTAGCCTCTGCTGCTTTGCTTCTGACTTTCCTCCAACTCATTTTTTCTCCCTCCTCCAGGGTGCTGGAGCTTGGAAAAGCTCAGCCTGCTCTGCCAGGTGTGTGGAGTTCATTTGTAAGAACCTGCTTTGTATCTGTGCTCCCAAGCCCTCGCCCTGGCTCCAGGGAGTCCCCTTTCCCTGCTGATCCAGGCTGTGCCAAAGCCTCACCAGATGGTCTCTGTTTCCTCCTCTCACGCTGCAATCCCAGCAGTCAGTGTTCAGATGCTGGGATGTGATTCATATTTTACTCTTTTTTTTTTTTTTTTTTTTTTTTTTTTTTAAAAGAGGAACCAATGTGCATTTAATGCACTGGCTGTGAGGGTCACAGCCTCTCCTGAGCCCCAGGAGCAGCCAGGTCACTTACTCTGCACTTACACCTTAATTATCCACTGAACCGTGGTGCTGGCGGATAGCTTATCAGCTTAGATTTACTGTCTCTGTGCACAGGCCCCATCCAGCCCTGCCAGGGTGAGGGGAGCTTGTGGCAGGGCTGGAGGATGCACTAGCTTTGGTTATCCAGTCCTCCCATGGGATGGGACATCATGGGAGTGGCAAACGGTGCTGCTCAGTGTCACCTGAGTGTCACCGTGCTGCTGGGTGGGGCTTTGATACGCAGTGCTGGGAGTCACATCCACATCCTTGTGTCCTCACCACGGCTGCCCCATACGTGGCTCCTGCACCATGATGGGATGGGCACTCACGGTGCAAGACTCAAGCTGGTACTTGTAGATTTGCAAGGCAAATTATTCAAATAAGCTTCTGCAGCTGCATAGCCAAGAGCTGGCTCCAGGTGCCGCTGAAATGTGGGGACCCTGCACGCACAAAGCTGGTGTGAGGGCCTGGGGGTGGAAAGGGGGAACAGTGGGGGAGCAGTGGCCTTACTGTCCCCATTGCAGAGAATGGCTTGTCTGCCCTGCAGCCCCCCAAAAACCTGGCAGTCTTGGGTCATAGGGTGCATTTTGGTGTGGGGTAAAACTGGAGGCTGCCCCCAGCCAACCAGGTGAGCATACTAATGTTGGGTAGGGCACAGAGCAGCCAGAGGTGTGGGGGCAGGTCAGAGTGACCCCCAGCCCTACAGCCCCTGGTCTACACCTGGCTGCTGTGAGCCCTGCAGCCAGTGGTGATGGAGAGGGCAAACCCCCCTTCCTCATCCCCACGTGCCCTGGTGTTTCTGCACCCCATCTCTGCCCGCTCCTGGCTCTGCTGCCCCTGCCACCCCGTGACCCTGGGGGTGCTCTGGCGCTGCCGGGGCTGGGGCACAGCTCAGTGCATGGATCCTCGCAGGGATCCCAGCCCCAGCCAATCCCCACGTGGTGGCTCAGCCAACCAGCCAATCCTGTGCTGCCACCTGGCCCTTCCTCCTGCATGCTGCCTCCACCAATCACAACCAAGCAACACGCTGGTCTGACCAATCATGTGCTGCCACCTAGCACTACACTACAGCCAACCACGTGCTGCCATTTGTCACTGCTGCTGCCTCCCCCCTGCAGCAGCAGCCCACCAATCACAGCATGAGAGGGACTGGGTTGAGCCAATCAGGAGCTGCTGCCTGCCCTCTGGCCCAGCTAATCAGGGGCAGCCACACCCTGCCAGGAGCTATAAAGGCCCTTCGGCACCTGGGCTCTCCCAGCAGTCAGGGTCACCCCAGGATGGAGGAGTTGTGGTCATGTTGAAGGTTGTTCCTGTGGAAAAGGCTCCCACTGCAGGGTCCTGGGAGGATGTAGGTGGAACGCGGTGTTTTTTTGGTGCCCAGTGCCACGGGCCGAGTGAATCCAAAATGCTCCAGGGACTGCTCACCTGGGTGATGTCTTAGGACAGGAGCAGTAGGTCCCCCCAGCAGGAGAAGGCTTGCAGGTGTCATGTCAGCTGAAGGTGCCTGTGAGGATCTTGGAGATGGTCTTCCTGAGGAATCAGCCTTGTGCCAGGCTCTGCCCACTGGGAGCTGGAGAGTCCCACCTGCCTCAGATGTCCAGAAGATGATCCCAGCTCTGCCTGGAGGCCTGAGCTGGGCTCTGTGGGGGCTGCTGCCACAGGACAGAAGGTGAAGAGCAAGCAGCCATGGTGTGTCTTCAGGCACGGAGCGGTGCTGGGGCCCTCAGCCAGAGCTGTGTCACAGGGCACACGTTCAGCTGTGACCTGCAGAGCAGAACTGCCGGTGCCACCCCTCACCTGCAGACACCACAGGTCGTGAGGGATCCGAATCCTGCTGAGCTGCTGATCACACTGCTCCTGGAGACTGTGGAGGCGAGTGGATGGAGCTGAGGTGGCTGCTGACCTCTGAAGATGGGTGAGGTAGCTCCCACATGAACTATCAGGAGAGCCTCGTATGTGCTGGGAGGGACTCAGGCTGTGCCAATGTGCTCCAGTGGCCACTTAAACCAAGGGCAGTCCTTCCCAAGGATTCTGCTGTGTCCAGACCTCAGCTGAAGCCACCTTTGTGCAGTTCAGCAACCAGGCGGACTGAGAGCGACTCCCGTGTGGTTGGCCTGATGCACATCACTGCAGTGGAGCTGTCCTGCCACAGGTCACGGCCAGCAGAACCATTGGGGCTGAGCCCGTGCCCTGTGGACAACTGCACTGAACCTGGGCTGGCACAGCTGCCTCCAGTCCTGACCTGCCCATAGTGGGTTAGTTGTCCTGCACCAGCTGTAGCTTTTGCTTAGCCTCATCCAAAACTTCTTGTTGTATCTTGGCAACCCTCATGAAATTTGGAGCACCTTGGGGGCTCGGTGGAGAACCTGCCTGTGGGGAATGCAGGGCTTGGACTGCAAGCAAGACACAGGCTAGGGTTGGTTACTGCTGCAGTTTGTGTCTGGGTGAATAATCGGCATCAGCTTAAGAGACTGACGAGTGAAACTGCCTTCCAGGTGTGATTCCTCAAGCTCACAGAGAAGCAATTTTGAGTGGTTGCTGTTGAAAATAGACACGAAGAGCTGCTCCTGTGGTGGAGCAATTGCCACCTGGCTCAGGATGTGAGGTGTCCCATTGGAATAGACCCCTCAGGAGTGGGCTGTGGCAGCCCAGGGCCTTGGCCAGTCATGGCTCAACCCAACAAGTCTGTGCCTCCTATATGGCTCAGGAATGTTTGTGCACTTGCCTCAAGAGCTGCCTGGTGTGGGCAGGAAAGACCAGCCCAGGTGGAAGAGCAGAAGTGGGACATCTCATTCCTGTCTCGTCCCTGGCTGCTGTGTCCCCACAGCCTGTCCCTCTCAGAGCCAGGGCAGCTCTGTCCCTGGGCCCTGACTTGGCACTTGGAGGGACCTGGCTGTCCACAGCCCAGCAGAGGTCCTTGAGCTCTGAAACCCAGCTGGATGCTTGCCCCCACTGCCAGATCTTCTTGGGGTCACCACCTCAATC